AGGTCTACGGCTCCCAAAAGCTTTGGGACGCGTTCACCAAGGAGAGAAATGCGGGGAAGCACATGTTTTGGTACATGATGACCTCCGGCTCCCACCAGAGCCACATTTGGAGCATCGAGCAGTTGCCGAAGACGGAGGACCAGCCGGTGCGGTATCTTTGGTGCATTTTGCCAAGGGATGTTAGGACTGAACAACTTTTTGCCAACCAATTTTGGTTTTCCGAATTAAATCACTACAAGTTAAAAACTTTTAGCAGGGGAGCAGCAAGCAAGCGAGGTATCGCACCATGATGAGCTGCTTCGACCGTACACCCTCACCGCCTGGCTGGCGGACACCAGCGACAAAGCCACGGTGGGGTTTTTGAAGAAGCAGCGCCACGTGTATCCGTCGCAGAACGACACCGCTTCCCTGTGGAGGCGATGGCAAAACAACAACAAGTTCGACCAGGTGGGCGTCTGCATCATGGAGCCGGCGCCGGAATGGCCGAGTTTGCTCCAGGAGTGGGTCAGCTCCGCCCTCGAGTACGACGTGGACGCATCGATGAAGGACCTGCTCACGGCTCAGCAGAAGTACGGGGGATCGAAGGTGTTCACGGACAGCGAGTTCTTCGGGGCGGGCGGATACTTGAGCGCCATGGTGTCCTGGCTGCGATCCGCGGAAGAGGCGGCCACGTCCTTCCCCTTGGGCGAGTGGGACTTGAAGCTGCACGAGGGTTATATCCAGCTCTTCGGCTTCCCGCCGGTGGACCACTTTCCGGGCGTGCCGTACATTGCCTGGAACGGGGCGCACCGCGACTTGCTGGAGCTCCGCGGTCCGGAGAACATGGCGAAGAGTTGGAAGGCCGAGCGCAGCTCGAAGATGAGCGGGGCGAAGGGCGACGGCAAGTTCGGCTTCCTGGTGCAGGCGGTGGAGGTCGATGAGGCCACGTGCGAGCGCAACGCCAACATCATCCTCCAGAACGCCCTGGCTGGCAAGGCTCCTCCACACCAGGGGCTCGCGCCCAGCATGCGGCCCTTGACCAAGGAGGAGGTGTGCCAGGGGTTGAAGCCGTTCTCTTCTTAATGGGGCAGGCCAAATGTGCCGCCCTGCTTTGAAATGCGTTCGAACGCAGGCCCATACTATTCATCTGAGGACGCATTGTTCACCCCCTTTTGTTACATGGTCGCATTCTAGCAATGGCAGCCCCAGATTAACATCACGATCCGTTCGCGTGTTGACAAATGTGTTTTCAGAGGTGAGCAGTTTATGCCTGAAGGAAGTGCTGGTGCATGGATGCGACGAATCACTGCATGAAATTTTGAAGCATGACGTTCGACCAGGCAAAGGACTGGTGCGAGAGTCGGCACGAAGGAAGCTTGGCCCGGGCAAAGGCTTTGTGTCCTCGAGGGCAGGACCCCTATAGTTCGATTGAGGAATGCGCTCTATGGCAATTTCCCCCCCCCCAAAAAAAAAAAAAGAAGGGCAAAAAACAGCTCTCTATGACAATTTCGCCCCCTCAGAAAACCATTAAACCAGCAACAAACACACATGAGTAAACAAAAACACATGCTCAGCACGCCGAACGAGCGAAACAACGCCGAGCTTATTGACACGCGCAACGCGCCAGGTGCGGAGTTCAAGGGCGGGTGGCTCTCGCAGGCTCAGGCAGGGTATGCTTGGGTTTGTGTGTGTGTGTGTGTGTGTTTTGTTTAACAAAATAGCCTCCCACCTTCTTTACATGGAACCTGACAGGAGTCCCTTTAAAAGGAACATTGTCCAAACCAGGACCCCCCGTCAGAAAAGGGGAAAATCCGGGTCCGAATCTTGGCAGTGATGTAGATGAAGGGCCAATCAAAATTCACACCCGGCGGGTCAAAATGGTTGAAACGCCGATTTGACTTGGCTTTGTGGGGAAAGGAAACTAAGGAAATTGCAGGGGCCTCGAAACTCCTCATCGATTTGTGCCAAGAACCCTAAGGCTCAAATCGAAGCTTCGCGTGCTTGGGTGCTTGGGTGCTTGGTTTCCCTCCTTCAATGCCACCAACTTAAAGCCGTGTGGGACAACTTGTTCCCTCCGCAAGATTGCGGTGACCTCAAACAGGAGCGCAACGTATCAGATTATCTTCAGGTTTGCAACGGCAGAGCCACGGCCCCCAATTCCACAGTAACCCCAAGCCTCTCTCCTTGGGACACCTTCCAGGACTCCCTTGACTAAGACCTACGGTGTGGTTCGGGCCCCGAAAGGGAGAAAGTTGTTTTGGACGTTGCGTCACTTGCCGAGAGCAAGGGTTTGCCTGTTTGTTCCCGTGCTAGTCAGAGGGAGCTTACTAGGAAACCTGCAATTCTTCTGTTGGGGGCAGACCTTGTCCCAGAGTCCTTTCGTGGGAAAGTACTGCAGTCGGACCATGCACGCACGGATCCCGGAGACAAGGCCCAGATATTCTTGAAATGGCTTGCACGAACTGTTCACCCTTGCAGGCTGAAATGTGCACTGGAATGCATTCCAGGGGCTTGACTGATCGCAGATGCGCCGAAGTTCACCCATGCCCGAAATATCGAACAAGCTTGCGTATGGGGGATTTGAGGTTGAATCATTCCCGCTTTGTTTCATTCATACGAAAGGCACGGACATTTCCCCTTGAGGCTTCAGAGTCAAGGGGAAAAGCGGGCGAGGAACTACCGCTATGCTCGCGGCCCGCTGCCATGTCCATCCCCTTCCAACCGGAGAACACTAACGCTTGCCACGCGTGCAACGTCAAGCCCCCCTTGAGTGAAGAAGGCCCCATTGCCATCACGCGCTTCTAGTACCTTTCTGTGCTACGGCCTCCGGTTTTATCGTTTGCGACACTTGCTCGGTTGCCTTGCATCTGCGCGTGACCGAGACCCACGAGGCGTCTCCATTGAGGTTGCCAAGAAAACCGAACGTGCAACGAAATGCCTCAGACCTGGTAAGCGGAACTGCTGCCGAGCCTCAAAACGTTCTAGTTAAGGGGCGACTTGGCATGGATGGGGCCAGGCTGGCTTCAGCTTGCTGCAAATCTGGGCTTTTTAGTGGAACCCATCCATTTGTCCCACGAAGACCTTGATGTGCTGATGTTCTCTTCTTCTTGAGCTTTAAGCCGCAAAGGAGAAGATGAAAGTGAACCTGGAGAACGTGCGCTTCCTCGGCACAGGCCGGACTCCCTTACTTGGGGCTCCATGTGTACCGCCTGGACCCAAGAAAATGGACGTCTTAAATAGCGGGGCGCTGCCATATCTTTGGTGATTAAAGCATTTTTCTTAAAACTTTTAGCAGGGGAGCAGAAAACCAGCGAGATAAAACATCGTCTTGCTTTGGCTTCCATGATTGTATGTTGTCTTTGCTCGGGGTGTCCCATGAGGATGCGCGACTCAAAAACAAGGCCAGATAAAGCTCAGGGGTCAAGATGGGTTCCGGTTGGGCTCAAGCAGAAGCCCATGCTCTACCCATGGTTGAGCCATGGCGGGTCTTCAAAAACATCGGCCAACGTGAGTGCTTCTCCAAATTCTGAGCCTTCTTTTGGTATTCAAAGAGGAAACTAAAGGGAACCCACATTTTTCGGGGGATTGCTGCGTACCTTGGGACCCCCCCATATTTGCAAGCCTACCCTTGGTTCGCAATATAGTCGATTGTGAACCAAAAGGCCATGATCTTTGGGCGAATTTGAGGGATCCCTCAGACCTTTTGGCTAAGTAAATGGCCTTTCCGTTACACCCACGACGCAAGGTGTAAGGAGCTTTTGCTCAGTGCGGCTTGGAGCAACCCAGAAAATGGTACCTTCTCCAATTTTATCCCATGGCAATTGCGCTAACTTCGCAGCCCTGGCGAAGACGCGAAGCCTGCACGGAGAAGCCCAACCTGGGCTTCCTTTTATTTCTGCCCAGCCGCCGTAAAGAACCTGTAGAAACAATATTGACAGAAGGGGGGCACCCCACAAGCATTCTCCGTATCAAAACCACCTCCCAAATGTTTGGAAACCGCTTCCTTTCGGTTTCCAAGTTGCGTTCCAAGTTCGACCTCCTTCATTCAACGTCTCCTTGGAGTGATTTCCAGAGGACAAAACCCAAGTAGTTCGATCACTCCCTCCCCTTGAATCGTTTCCAGGGGGCGCCTGGTGTCGCCTGGTCTGTTTCTGTCAGACCCCGGCGCACTCTACGCCCAGGCACTGACAATTTGTGGTAGGATTGTAACGTGCCCCGGTTTTCCAGGCTTATGACTTTCCCCCGTTTTTCCAGGTTTTTCACTTCTACCGCTTGGGAGGAGTCTCAAGATGGTGGTCCCCATTTCGGGTTGGTTTCTGCTGGGAAGTCGAAAAGACACCAGCTATGCTGCTAGGAGACCCCTGTTTTGAGAAACACCTACTGCGGGGGGCAAAATCCGTTCGCCCCACCTCAGAAACCCAACGGAATGATTCGATTCAACGCAAATACCAACAAACCTTGCAGTTTCCCCCATGGCTTCCTAAAACGTGGTGCGGTCGAAGGGATGTCGCCACGGACTCGACCACAACACGCTTTCGCTCCGATCGGAGGCTCGCGGATCGCAGACCTCAAAGACCTGCAGGCGATCGGAACGAGACAGGGGCTCCATGGATTCGTTTGTTTTGCTGGTCATGTTGACCCCATATCAATCAACCCCAGTTCGTTAATAGGGGGCTGCCCCGAAATTTAGGGTGAATCAAACCACGTTCGGAGGGGAATATGGGGTCGGCATTGCACTTTCTGGGGCAGGTCCCCGATTTTTCAAACAGCCATACCCATCCGTTCCCTGGTCAGTCACATCGCTTACGCCGTGACAGGTGAGTTTTCCTTTCGGGGTGGGGAACGAGTTCTCCTCGCGGGACGCGGTTGGAAGCCCATAGGAACCAACAGGCGCCCAGCACCCCAACAGGTGCCCAGCGGATTCGGGAGCCCTTGTGAACTGGGCCGAACAACGTGAACCTTGGGGAGGTAACCTCCTGAACAGAAGCCACCAAGAGGGCGAGGCAGGATGTCTTACGAAGATGGAGGCAGTTGAAAGGGCCAGGCTGGTTCTCATTTTTGTCAGTGCTTGTTTTGCTCACGGCGTGATTAGCGACCATGAGCTGTCACGCCACTTTTTGGGGTTGGGGGGGGGGTATTGGGGTGGGTGGTTGGGTGTTTTTAATCATGTTGACTTTGCATCAGCCAATGCAGACACACGCGCAGACAGACACACAGCATGCGCAAGCCGGCCGTGCGTGCCGGAACCTCTGTGCACACCCCGTCCTTGCGCACGCCGGGCATGCATAGTCCGCTTTTCTCGCTCAAACAGACTGACCGCACATAGATTGACGGACATACACCGAAGTGCAAGGACGTTTGTTGTATATGCAGGTTGCCTTGTCAGAGCCACCAGAACCCAACGGTTGCTATGGTCAACTTGCATTGGCTCGAGTCGACAAACATGTTCAAGCCACCAGATTCCTGCGTCAACTTGCATTGGCTTGAGCCGATAGACGTGTTCAACAGAAGAAGAAGAAGAAGAAGAAGAAGAAGAAGAAGCTCAGACAGGCGTAGTCTTCAACTTGTGTAGACAGAAGAGCCGCTCAGACAGGCAAGAACGGCAGCCGAAAAAAGTTAGCTGCGCGGGAAGAGTGGCAGCAAGTGTGCTGCGCGCTATTGGGAAAGGCAGAAAATAAGATAAAAGTGCTGCAAAATACAGCACGTGAGACAATGCCTCAATTTGCACTCTTGAAATCGCACGGGTAATTGCCATAGGTTTGGCTTTGACCGATTCAATGATGGTGTTGCGGGGCCCCACGGTTGCTAACGGCGCCGTGACCTTGTTTTTCCAAAAGGGCTTTAGGGGGAACAACCCGGCGCCAGTCCAAGGGTTGCCCAGTGACAATGTCTTGTTGACCTTGGAGACAGCCAGATCATCGCGAGACGGCAACCACAAGCAGTACTCTGTGGTCGATTTGGCAGGACATGGGGGAATTCACTACATTTCCCAAAAGCCAGGGGGTGCGCTAAATTTCGAATGCCTACTTGAAACAAGACTTCGGCTCATAGGGAAACCCAAAGGTTACTAGAAAGAAACCAAAAAGGTACCCACGAGGTTTTGGCAAGTTGAAGATTCGCAGATCAGTTTCCTCCATATCCGAAACTTGTTTCTAAGCTTGAAGCACTGCAAGCCCTTTAAACATATGGCAGGCGACACGAGTTTCCTTCTGCCTCCTGCTTTTCTAAAGCTTGGCCTTCCCTTGACCCCTTTCCCGTATGAAAAAATGCGATCCGCGACTCGAGCCGGAGGTGAGTGACCCAGCAAAGTGAGCAACATCACCCATAAAAGCAGTAACATCGCCCAGAACCTCCATACATCTGGGCGGTTCCCAGCCGTCCGTTCCTTGGATTTTTAGGCTTTGAGTTGGCTTAGCGGGGTTTCCGTATTGAACCAACGAGCTCCTCACTTTTAGCGGATCAGAAAATGGACCGCCCAGTTAAATCACGCCTATAGAATCATCCACTGTGCCCGTATTTTTTTTTGGCGAACATCACCCGCAAAGAAAAGGAGCGGACATCTCACCCATCAACTCCTTACCCGCAAGCGGCCACGGATCACCCAAAGCGGCAGTTGATGTGGCCCATCTCCAGTCGCCCGCGTTTTGGCGCGCCAGGTGATGGACTTCCCCCAGGCCCAGCTGTGCGAGCAGCTGGGCATCGAGGTGCACGGCATCTTGGGCCCGGTGGCCCCAGCGTCCCCCGTGCTGCCGGCGTCGAGACGGGTCCCAACCGGGTGGTTTGGTTTTTTGGTGGTTGTTTGGTGTAGTGGGTCGCAGGCATGCGGTTCCTGGGCTTTTTGTTTTTAAAGCTTTTTAGATCGTTTTCATGTGTTTTTTTGTGATTCTAGTGCTTTAGTGGTTGGATTTCCAAATTGAACTTACTAAAAGTTAAGCTTTTAGCAGGGGATCTGAGCACAGTTCCCCAAAACCGGGTTTAAGTCTACCTCTTGGGGTCAAAAGACACGGACTCCGACCACGCCGCTGAGGCGCGTTCTGGGCGCGAAGAAACCACAAGCTTCTGGCTGGGCAGCAAGCTGGTTGCTTCGGGTTCCCTGGAGTTCTCCCTAGAAACTTCGAACTTCGGCGAGAAATCGTCGCTGTCCTTGGTCTGTCTCTGGTCTTTGAGCCCAGAGGTTTTTGGCGGAGTTTCCATTCCCCTGGCCCAGAGTCGATTCGAAGGAAGGAGCTTCAGGTCTTTTTGCAGGTGGTGTGCGCCCGATAAAAAGCCGCAAGCAGCCTTTGCCAAAGGTCATTTCAGCTTTTTGCCCGGTTGGTTTACGAGGAACACCACAGGGAATGCATACATTTAGGCCGTCCTCTATTGGGTATGTGCTTTAAGAGCAGCAACTTTGGAAGGGGTGTATCTTGAGCCCGTTTTGCGTGGCCACGCCCGCATTTCGCGAGCGTGAAGCGAAGCTCTGCAGCTGACTGAGGCATGCCCTTCTTCGAGGAGTACGATCTGGCGCCCAGCTCAAAGAGGGACGGATGAAAAGGCAAACGTGAGGGGTGTGGCTTTTTTTATTGAGGGGACCCCCCCGCGCGCCCCCCACATGTTTTTGAGGGGCCCCCAAAATGGAGGTTCTCCTTCCAACCAAAAAACAAAGGGCACCAACTCCAAAAGACCACTAGGGAAAAGGCAGCTTCCCTTCTTCCACAGCTGTTTTTTGGTAAGCAAATGGCTTCTCTATTACAGTAAGGCTACCCTCCCGTCCACTAACATGGAGCCTGACTGAGGGAACCTGTAAGACTACTTTCCATGCAAGTGAAAGTTGGGGGCTTGGGTTCCCACAATGGGAACGTGCTGTACCCCGTATCCCCTGTCATATACTTCTGAGCAATTTATACAGTCTACGCATTACAAATAATGTGTGGGTATCATATATATATATATATATATATACATATACATATACATACCTGTATGCATGCTTGGGGCGCTGCTTTCCCTATACTCAGTTACGCCCGACCAAACCACCTGATCACTTGTTGCCATTGGGAACTACTTACGGCCCTGGCATGCCCGTATCAACTCCCTAACTGGATGTGCCGCAATTTGTAGGCGGTCTCAGCAACTCGTCCCCTTCGGGTGTTCAAATTCAAGTCAACTGATGAACCAAAACTAGACCAACTGCAAGAAGGTGAAATTCGGCTGATGCTTTGTTGAGTGTCCTGGTGGCTTCTCCAAGGGGCTTGAAGGAGATATTGCCGTTTGCAACAGGTGCAACAAGCAGAGTTACATCCTTACATCCCGGTCTTGGGGAACAACTTTGTGCACCATGTCGCACACAAGGGCATGCATTTGGGGCATGTACACTGCCACGTGGAAATGTTTGACGGGACAGCAACGGGAAGCTTGAAGAGGAGTGGTGCTCAATCGCGACCCATATCAGGGAAGGGCAGAGATTTGCTTAGACACGATTTCTGAGAGCTTTGTTTCGCAAGAAGTACCAGAGTTTCCAAGTGAGGCTCCACGCACATGCTTGTCCAGAACATGTCCAACACGTTGGGCACGGTCTGGCTGCCTGCTATAGTTTGCACTTTGCCGGCTATTGGCTCATGAAAGACATGGGATCACCGCTGAAAGCCCTTCCCATTTTGCAACCAACCCACTGGGAAAAACAAAAAAAAACCCAACACCCTGCAAATTTGAACGGGCCGAAGAAGAAGAGCCAACTTTTCGGGGGGCAGATCCCTTTTTGGGGTTCCTTCCGGTGAACTTCTCGAGGAAAACCAAAAAACGCCGCCCGGGAGCCCGGTTTTGGGGCGGGGGCCTCCCGGCTCGCTTTATCTCAGTGGGTCAAGAATTAGTAAATGGCTTGCCCGGGCAAATGGCTTGCCGTGGTCTAAAAGCTGCGGTCTCCCGGTGATTTCCTTTTGACCCCATACCCACCAGAGTTCTCACCCAAAGGTTCCTGAAGAAACCCTTCCCAGGAGATGTCGAGGGGTCTTGGGGTTCTTTCCCGTGCCCTCAGGATCTGGACCGCTACCGGGCGCGGGCGGAGCTCTACCTGCCGGGAAACGCGGCCTCGCAAGGCGCGGAAGACCCGGGGAAGAGGAGCCCGGACGTTTTTTTGGGGGGGCCATGGGGGGCATAAGCTATGGCGATCCCGTTTTGGGGTGGATGAACATCCATTTGCCACCTATTTTGATGTTCACCAGGGGTACTGGGTTTTGACCCACGGCCATGTGTATAGCGGTTGGTTCACTGGTATGGTTGGATGGGAACAAACTGCTTCGGCATCACAGATCTCGGGTGTGTTCTTTTTCAGGAATCCCCCTAAAATGGTGGTGTTCCTTTTGGTTTCGCTTTAAACACAACTACAACAAGATCCCCACACCTTCAGCTTGCCAGCAATTGGTGGCTTGGATGGGTGGCTTGCTGGTTTTGCGGTTAGGGATTGACCTCTACACGAACAAGGGGTTGCACTCCCCAGACCACCAATCCAAACCACCAATCACCCTCCCCACCAAGTACTCAGTTGTTCAAAGCCGACCTTTTGACCTTTTGGTTTTCCCATTTTGGTCCATATTTAGTCATGGCCCCAAAAGGTTAACCTTTCAGTTGCAGGTCCTTTGGGCAACTGAAAGTAACTTGGAACCTGCACAGGAACCATTTTTCGCAGGAACATGGTCTTCAAGGAGCTTCGCAGGTTCTACTGTGGATGGACGAAATCCATTTCGCACCACCTACTGTAAGCACCCCCTAAATGATTCTTGTCCCTTTGCAGATACCAACTAAAATGGTTTCAACCATGGATTCAAAGTGGCGCGAAATGGATTTTGTTCATCCACAGTAGAACCTGCAAAACTCCTTGAAGATCATGTTGCTGCGAAAAATGGTTCCTGGTTCCATGTGGTGTGGATGGATGGTTTGGAGAATGCAACCCTTGTTCGTGTAGAGGTAAATCCGTAAGCACCAAACCAGCAAACCACCAACCCAAACCACCAATTGCTGGGAAGCTGAAGGTGTGGGTATCTTGTTGTCGTTGTCGTTGAAGGATGTTGTGGGGTAAGGGTTTTCCAAGACCTCGAGGCTTCTACAGCGGGGTGAAGCACCTGCCGGGCATCGAGCTGCCGCAGAAGAACCTGGGCCTGGCGGTGAAGGGCATGGCCGTGGATGAGGCGAAGACGTTTTCACACTAACTCGCGGTCCACGGGATTCCCCCCAGGTCAAAGGTTGCAGTTGGCCGCGGGGTCCAACCAAAACTACCCACTTTTGTGGAGGTCTTAAAAAGGGAAGTTGAGGGACCCCTGACCTCGCATGCGTCACCTTGGTTTTTGTTTCTCCCCAGTGTTTCTTGTTTTTGTTTTAGAATTATTATTTCTTTGGGGGGGGAACCTCTTGGATGCGTCTGTGCTTTAGATGCATGGCTTCCCTTCAAGACCACAAGCAAGGGGTAGCCTCAAAAATACTTTCTACTTCGAACCGCCCACTCAGAAGTCTGCTTGACCTAAGCTAAGCTAGTCAGCTGGTTGAACACGGATTCCACCGGTTCGATCTTCACTTGCTCCCAGGATTTGTTTTTACCTGTGAAGACTTAGGTCCCAATTCTCACGTTTGCCACAAGTTTCTCGCGGTTGGCGGGAGCAGAAAGAAAAGTTGGCACAATCTCTGCGGTTCTTGGCATGTGGGGTTGGGTTGGAAGTTTTGTGGGGGGGTTTTGTGGTTTGTGGGGTTGGCGAGTTGGGGGGTTGGGGGGTTGGGGCAAGCGGCAGGCAGCAGGGGGCAAAGTGTGTTTGTTGACCGCTCGCTTCCACTTCGAGTTGGACTTTAGCCTTTGTGGCAAGACCGCAAAATGGTGGCTAGCCCATCCACGCAGCAAGAGAAGGGCGAGAAAGCCATAGTCTTGGCATGACAGGAGCATTGTTTCCCGTGAGACCCATGACACGCCCCAGAGGCAAGCCAGTTTCGCGCATGAACCTGTCGGCTTCTCTTCCAAGAGATGTTGTAACATGAATCAAAGCGCACGGAATCCCTCTTCGACCCGTTCAAACTCTCAAACTGATTCTTGTTCGGGTAGTCTGAATTGGTGGTTTGGACGCGTGGTTTCGGGATTTGACCCCCCGGCTCTTGTAGCCTTCCATAGCACGAATCAGTCTAGGCAATTTAGAGCGAGGTCAGCCGAGGTGCGAGGTGGAGCAAATATTTTACGCGAGGCGAGTTAACTAAATTCAGAACAACGAGGTGCACACGTAGATGCAGCAGGAGAGGGTCCCACAGCAGGAAAAAACTGTTCAGGGCCTGAAAAGTTATTTTATACGGTCAGAGGTGATTGTTGGGGAAAATAACTTTTTGAGCCCTGCAAAGTTTTTTTTGCTCATAGTCTTCCCGTAGCCCTCCCGTAGCCTTCCCGTAGCCTTCCCGTAGCCTTCCCGTAGCCTTCCCGCCTTCCCAAAGCACCCCTAGTCTCATTGTTTCCGGCAACCCCTCAGCAAAGCCTTTGACACAACAAAGGCCAGCCACTTGCCTTTGGCCAGGGTCACATGGAAAGATATTCTGACATTGCTGTCATTTGGGATCCAGCGGCAACCGGACATGCAACGGATCCTTTCCAAGGTGTGTTTGGAGTGGGGAGCAAACGGAACGAAATTTCTGGAAATGGCATAGCGGCGGAAAAGTGAATAGTTTTGAGAGCTAAATTCAATGAACCATACTGCATTGCATATTGTATTCCATGTATATGGCAGACTTGTATTGGACATTGTATTGGTGTTTGCGAGCTGGGGCTGCCAAAGTTTCCTGTAGCGCACTTGTACTGGGACGCGGCGTTGTTGTTGGCAAGCTTGGGGCTGCCAAAGCGCAAAATAAATTTTCAGGGCTTGTAAAGTTGTTCTTCAGCACTCCAGGCAGCTATCCGGGGCTGCCAGCCCTCAGAATGGAAATAAGCGACCCTGCAGGCAGCTAGCGGCCGCAAACGTGCAAAGTAAACTTTTCGGAGCTTGAAAAGTTTTTCATCGCCTCCAACGGCTATCCGCGTTCTGGACTCGTACTACAAAATTGTGATTTTCGTGCTGGAGCTGCGGAAGCGTACTTTTTTGTACTTGGCTTGTACTACGAGTCGTGGAAGCGCGCTTCTTGCACTAGGCTTGTGCTACAAAATTGATTTTCGCGCTGGAGCTGCGGAAGCGTACTTTTTTGTACTTGGCTTGTACTACGAGTCGTGGAAGCGCGCTTCTTGCACTAGGTTTGTGCTACAAAATTGAGTTTTTCGAGCTGGAGCTGTGGAAGTGTGCTGGAACGTGGCATTGGTGTTGGAAGGCTCGGGGCTGCCAAAGCGCAAAATAAACTTTTAGGAGCCTGAGAAGTTTTTCAGCACTTTAGGCAACTATCCGCGTGCTAGACTTGTAGTACAAAGTTACGATGTGACGAGGGATTTAGCGAGGTGACGAGGTGACGAGGTGACCGCGGATTTAACGAGGCGAGGCGCACACTCCAAAACCTTATTTAGCAACGAGGTGACAAGGTAAGATTTATTGCAAATTGCCTAGATCAGTGAGAAGCTGATTTGGGGCATCTTCCTTAACGAGTCCTTCGGCAGGTCGGCCACTGGTTTGTGCCAATTCACTTGGTGAATGCTTCAGATCAGGTTCCGATCCACTCCGAAGGATCGACCCAAACCGAGGGGGATTTTTTTTGGGGTCTTCAATGGGGCTTTGTTGTGTGAGACTTCTCGGAAGTAGATCTCTTTTTTTTGTGTGAGGCTTCATGGAAACCAGAACATAATTGCTTAGTGCTTAGGGGACAAAGTGTTTGTGACATGGTTGGGGTCACATTTTTCTGATGTTGGGATCCTTATTGGACATTGCTAAAAGTGTCGGGCATTCCTATTGGTCTGAACGACGGCTCCCTGGTGGTCTATTGTCAGTTCGGGCGGCCTTCCACAGAAAAGGGGGCCCGTCCCGAAACCTTCGATCGACCTGAACTGGCCTTTTGCTTCACCCGTTTTGGTTCCAAACATTTTCAGAGGCACCAAAAGGTGAGTTTCTCCATCTTTTTGGTCAATTCTTATTGGCCAAAAGCGATCACCTTTCCTTTCATCTCTGGGTCCAACTTTTTGTTTCGTCCAAACCGGCTGAGTCATAGGTGTTTTTTGGTGTTTTTTTTTTTGGGGTAGGGGTTCCATAGGTCCATTTATTTGTCTGAACGCCCCCCCAAAAAAACAAACCAAACGGTGGTGTTCCTTTTGGTTTGCCTTGAAACCGGGGCTGTGGGAAATGACAACTTCTGTGATACAACAAAAAGGGCCTCCCAAAGACCAACTCCCCATTTTGCTCGATGGAATTCCTAAAAGTATCACAGTGGTTGGATAGACCTCGAGTGATCAAAAGCCAATCAAGGAGAACAATTTTGAGGGTTCCCCCTGGCCATGCAGGGCTCCATTTTGCGACCACCACCCAATTTTGGACAAAATGTCTGTTAAAAAAGATCTGACATGGAAGACAGGGTTCACTGATTGTCCTTGGAAACCAAAACTGGCACCAACCAAAGACACACACAAACACAACCACCACCACAACCCCAAACACAACCACAACCCCAACCCCCTGCCCCTAGCTTCTTTCGAGGCCGAGGAGGACCCCAAGGCCTTCATCGGCTTAGTGGACACCAGCGCCGCCCACACGGCCGGGGCTGAAAAACCGGGCGGTTCAGTTCCAAGCGGGTCGGGGGTCCCCCCAAAATGATGTGTCTTTTGTTAGCGGACCCCCCAAAGAGGAATTGAATAAACAAGCAAACACGTGAGTCCATAGATAGATAGATAAGTGAATAAGTAAATTAATGAATGAATGAATGAAGGAAGGAAGGAAGGAAGGAAGGAAGGAATGAACTAATATTATATGAACTAATGAAATGAAATGACATGAAATGGAATGGAATGAAATGAATGAATGATTGAATGAATGAATGAATGAGTGAGTGAGTGAGTGAATGAATGAATGAATGAATGAATGAATGAATGAATGAATGAATGAATGAATGAATGAATGAATGACTAAATGTAAAAATACTACATATAGCACATACATAAATCAATTAATCAATAAACAACGTAACTTCTTTTTTCTTTTTTTAAAGAAATAATAATTTCCTGGATAAGTAACTGCATTCAAAACCATATCCTCGAGCCCTCCTTTTTGCAACTCACTGTGTTTTTTTTGGAATGCGGGTTACCCATTTGGTACCCAAGGGAGCCACACTAATAAGGGCTGGCTGCGATCCTTTTTTTATGGGGCCCTGTGCATGTCAGTTCTTTCATTGCACCTTATTTGGGCGGTCCTTTTAACTCGGGGGGCCAACACTGATCGGTGGTTCCTTTGGTTTCCCTTCACCAACCAACGCGGGCTCCCCCACATTGATTGATTACCAGGTATGCGGTACCCCTATGGGTTTTCTACACCACCGAATTCGGCTCCAAACCAAGTGGAAGGAAGCTTTTTCAGGGTGCCGTTTCTGAGATTCCAACATGGATTTCGTTTTACCTCTTGGTTTCCCTTGTAAAAACCCTGCTAACATAGCCTCTGGGCGAGTTCCTGACAGATCCAGTTTCCTCTCAGGGAGTGGGGGTGCTTGTGGGGTACCAACTTGATTCCCCAAAAAGGATTATTTTTCCAACAACCCGGACAAAACAGTTGCAAGTGCAATGTGTAACATGAACCATGCTTGTTTTGATCGCTTTGCCAAGATGAATTTCTCTCTTCTTTTTGGATTCCCTTGCGTGGTCAAGCCCTCACACCTCAGAATGGCGACCTTGATCAAGAGGCTAGGCAGTTCCGGAGACGTTGGCCCGAACAACTACGTTGGGTGTTGCCAACTCAAGACCACTCAACTCCCTTGATAAATCCACCCACCAACACTTGCCACCTTCTTCCTTGTGGATACGTTAAACACCCACCAACACCACGCTTCCAGTATTTTAACACCCACCAAACGCCACAAAGGCTTCCAACCTTTCCCCTCCACCCTCCACCTGGCCCCCCTCCACCCTCCCCCGGCGCCTTTTCCACCCTTCCCCCCCCCGCCCCCACCCCATCGAATCCGAGTCGAGTCCCGACATCGACTCCGAGATCGAGTCCGAGATGGCTGTGGGTCAAAACCAATGGTATTATTTTGGGGTAGCTGCACCACCCATTTTAGAACCGATTTTAGTGGTTGGATTGAATCGGATGTTCACTGGGGGTACGATTTGGGTTTTGACCCATGGCCAGATGGCAGGTGGTGAACTGGGAGGCGGCGAAGCTTCTGGGCTTCGATGGCCCGGAGGACGGCCGCCTCGTCCAGGCCGCCAAGGCGCCGAAGCGGCGGCTGGGCGCCGGCGGGTTTTGGGGTAAAAGGTGGGGGTGGGGGGGGGGGTGGGTTGAGGGGGTTGAGGGGGTTGAGAGGGGTTGGGGGAAAAGAAAGTGGCGTTGGACTGCGGGGTGCGGTTCGAAGTGCGAGTAAAATAGGGGTCCCTGGCCATGGGTGGTGTCCTTGGGGTTGGTTAGTTTGGTGGTTGGAAATAGATGGGTTTCATTGGTTTAGATGCGCTGAGTGGTGTTGATCGGTGAGCTTGGTTGACAGATGGGGTTCCACTGGTTTAGATTGGTTCTATTCCAAAAGGACGCCTATCCCATGTTTTTTTTGGTGGTTTTTTGAATGTTCGCCTTCTCACTTGCAACCAAAGCGAATCGACCTGACATTGGGTTTCCCCTTTTTGGCACTCAATTTTTTGCGGCCCCAAAAGGTGATCACCTTTGATTCCTGAGGGACCAGGAACCGAGTGGCGGCTGGAACCGGTGCCAGGTGCTCGCAGCTTCTGCGGATGGCAGCGCCGAGGACCTCTGCGAAAACGCGAGCCGTCGGGCTGTCCACCTTTGTTTTCGCGGAGCGGGAGACAAAAATGCGAAGGGGAGACAGAATCCCCCCCAGAGAAGGCTTGGGCAAGAAGTTTGTTTTTTTCTTTTCAATCAGGCAGGGTTGGGCAACACGTTGGTTTAGTAAGAACAACCAGCCCACGGCGCCTTTATTTGCGGATTCATGGCTAAACAGCGGGGCCAAGAACAGAAGTTGTACGGGAACAGGAATGCCCCCTCTTTTTTTTGGCGCTCGCTGGTTGCTTGGGGAGAATGGTTCCGTGTGTTTTGTTTTGGGGGGGCAACACGCCCCGGGTGGTTTCCCTCGGGGTTATTTCCACAAACTTGAAGGGAGCCACGGAGACCAAAGTCTTTTATTCGTCCCCCCCCCCCCGCGAGCAAGGGGTTTGTTCTCATTGGAAAGTCCCACAAAATTGGCTGTTCTCCTTTTGGCTTCCCTTTGAAACTAAAGGGAATTCTCAAATTATGGACACGCCAGTTTCGATATGCCGCCCCTCAAAGTGCCAGATCACAATTCACTGCTCTTTGCACGTCGTTTAGTTGTTTAGGTTTTGTCAAGTCCTGCTTGCTGGGGGGGAGGGGGCCGGGAAAAATACGCAGGTTTATTTTATGTATGTTTTCTTTTTTTTCTCTCTTGTTCCTTTTTGTTTGTTTGTTTGTTTGTTTGTTTGTTTGTTTGTTTCTTTTTTGGGGGAGACCCCTGCAAACCCGCATGGAGAGTTCGTTTTGAGGACGGCACTTTGCGGACGGATCCTCTTTGGAGCGCGAATCATCCAACTTGACTGAACGACCGCACCAGGAATCTTTCAGAGCATCCCAGGTGGTAACCTCAACCGCAAAAGGCGCCTGTCAGGAAACCTTTCGTGGGCGCTTCGGATTGGTTTGGGGAGTACCCTTGGCTCTTGTGCAGGGTAAATGGGGAAACCCCCACCGTAAGCACCACCAATTCAAAGCAGCCAACAAAACTTCCCCCTCCGTAATCACCACACCACCAATTCAGAGCACCGAATGAGCGGGAGGCGGATCCCGCTTTTTCCCGGCGCAATCCGCTCGAAAGCTTCGGAGCTTCAGGGCTCACGCGGCAACCGCCAGGCAGTCTTTTGGTTCCGAACCCTGACGCCGGAGAAAGTGAGAAGCTGATTTGAGAGCTGAGAGCATCCCAAATTTGAGTCGTTTTTTTGGTTCGGATTTTGTTTTGAGAAGCTGATTTGAGAAAGCGAGTAGGTTGACGCCGCATCTCAAATCAGCTTCCCTCAATTCGTGGAGCCGAATCGGTTTGGAGGTGTTCCGGTGGTGTCCCATTTATCCTCTACGAGAGCCAGGATTAAGATCCCCAAACCACCAATCCAAACCACCAATGCAAACCACCAATGCAAACCACAAATTGAGGGTTCGAGAGCCAGGACTAAGATCCCCAAACCACCAATCCAAACCACAAATTGAGGGTTACCTTGTCAACATGTGGTTTCTTCTCAACATGTAAAACACATGCCGCTTCGCTGTTTCTTTCCATATTGTTGGGTGGTTTATAGTCTTTGGTTTCGGATCATGTTTTGGCAGGCTGCAACAAAAACACAGCTTTTGCTCACATGGTCCCAGGAAACTATTGGTTGCCCTTGCGCTTGTTTTCCAAATGATTTTAGCCCGCCTCCCAACCCCCAAAAAAGCAAATAGGGGTTTCTCAACACGGCGGACCCCTCTTCGCACGCTTCTTACAGAAGAACCAAAAGGAACAAGGTCATTTGGGGCTCCCCTATTTTGAGAAACACCCATGTGTTTTTCATGGCCCCTAAAAGAATCGACAGAATGGGGGTTAATTGGTGGTCTGCATTGGCGGTTTGCTGATTTGAACCCTTGGTTCTAGAGGATACATGGGGTTTGCCCCTGCACTTCACCAGCAAACCACCAATCCAAAGCACCAATCGGAGGCATGGTTGTTGTTGGGAAACATTTTACATTTGTGCTTATTGTGGTTTAGTGGTTGAAATCCAACCACTTAACTGCTAAAATATTAGAATTGTTGCTCCCCTTCCAACGTCAACCAAGGAGGGAAGCTGAGGGCTGGTCGTCGTTTTTTGTTTTGTTTCCAGCCTTCCGCGAACGGAGCGAAAGGAGATGCCGGTGGCATTGGTCCGGCTCAGCCTGTGCAGCGCGCCGGAGGGAGCCGCTTGGATGCGTCGAAGCGAGCGGCGAAGCCGACGTGCGGGGTGGAGTCTAGGTCCCCCCAGCAATTGGTGCGCTTTCTGACTGTTCCTTTTTTGGTTGGGAGGGTTTCCCCTAGTAAAATAGACACAGAAGAAAATTGGGTACCCTTATTCTAACCCCTCTACTGGAGGACCTAGGAGTAGAATTTGTGGTTTGGGTTGGTGGTTTGGACGTTCGGGGGCTGCCTTCCCCGTTTGGTTTCAAAAAGATACTGGGGTTCAAGTCCTAAGCCAATCCAACCGCCAATGAAGGGGTAGCTGAGTGGGTGCTTGCGAGCTCTTCTTGTATGGAACTTGAAAGGGAGGATTTGAAGGTCTCAAAATTCCTGAATTCAGGTTGGTGAAGCAATTGCTTGGTGCAGAAGTTATATGAAGCCACGGCCATTTTACGCGCCAGAGTGGTTGGCGCCCAAAAGTCAATGATGAACGATTACTTAGCCTCATTGAAAGCAACAAGCAGGCGGCGCCCGAAAAGTTGGTGAAACCTGAGGCGAAGTCTTTGGTTGCCATTCGCGGGCCTTCTCAAAGTGTAGGGTTCCTCTTCGATTCGAGGCTTGCCCACAAGCTTCTAAGCTTTTGGTGGCGATGGTGACAGCACTGAAGCAGTCGAATTCCTCAGAGGCGACAAGAGTGCACCCCCCCAAATGGATTATCAGGTTTCCGAACTACACGCGCCCACATCAACAAGGCTCCGATGCAGTCAGCGGCAGACACAGTCGGTGATCTCTGTTTCTCGCACACGTTTTTCTAGAGCATCATATGGGCGTGTCTTAAAAGTGGGCTACCCGAGAAATGGTCAGTTTCCTTTTCGTTTCCTTTCAGTTTCCTTTCAGTTTCCTTTCAGTGTCCTTTCAGTTTCCTTTCAGTTTCCTTTCAGTTTCCTTTTGGTTTCCATGGAAAGAAGAGTATCCTCAAAAACAAATGAAGGTCCACGCAAAAACAAAAACAGCTCTGGCACAAAACAATGGTAAACGTCTAACATCCGGACCTGTTTGCCTCGGCTTTTGTCTGTCTTCCGTACTCAAAGTTTTGAAGGTATCACGCTGCAGCTGACCATGCAAGAAGCACATAAAAGGACTTGTTAAGCGCGTTCCATGGTTCCAAATGTGGACGCGCTAAGCCTGCAAGCATCACACGCATGGCCTGGCACAACTTTGCGAGCCTGCTGTGCAATCCCACCCCACCCCACCCCAGGCCCCGCCCCGCCCCGCCCCAACCCGCCCCGCCCCGCCCCGCCCGCCCTGCCCCAGGCCTCGTCCTGGCCACGTTTCTTCATGAGCGACATGAGCTGCACATGTTTTTGTCCTTTTTGCCATGTTTCTGGTACCCGCGCCTTGTTCACAATGCCAAGAGCAGAAAGAATAAGATGAACAAACACAACATGATACGGCGTGGGGGCTCCTCCAGGCTCGGGTACCAAAACCAAAAAAATAACCCATCTCCTTTTGGATTCTTCTCTAAAGGAATGGGCGGGGAAGCCTCTTGCTTCTGTACCGGGCTGGAAAGGCCAAAGGATGTCGCGAGCAATTGAATGGGGCATTACTTATGTTGAGCAAAGAGTGATCTTAGTTGGCAAACTGGATGCTAAATGGCATGTATTTTGTTTGTTTACCCAAAGGGAAACCTAAGGGGATGGGCTATTGTTCAATTTTTCCAGACCCGAATCAACAGCCCGCAAGCTGCCAACATTGTTTCGAGCTGGCTCCCAGTGTCAAATTTGTGGCATTTTTTCCTTCTGGAGCCCACTCTTCTTCTTCATTTCAGACGTGAATGTGTGCCAGCTTCCTTCCCCCCCACCCCCTTCGCTCCCTCCCTTCCCCCCCTCCCTTCCCCCCCCCTCCCTTCCCCCCCCCCTTCCCCCCTTCCCCCCCTTCCCCCTTCCCCACTTCCCCCCCTCCACTCCCCCCGGGTGAAATGGGACTCAGCTGCCCTTGGGCTGGGGATGCCACAGGTCAAGCCCATGGTCCAGTCGGTCTCCAAGGCGGGTCGGCGAGCTGTCGCGCTCGCTCGCTTCGCGCTTCGGCGGGCTTCGCCTCTTCGCTGGTCGGGGCTTTCGTCGGGGTTGTGGGTGGCATCTTCGGAGCGAAAACCCTCCCACCCGTTTCACATGGAACCGTTCTTTCGGGGAGTCGGTCCTGGTTTGGACGGACGGATCAGTTTCCTTTCAAAGGGACAGGGTCCCGAACGTCGAACGGTTCCATGTGAAAAGGGCGGGAGTTTCCTTTTGGCGTCCCGTTTAAAAACAAAAAAAAAAAAAAACACCAGACAAGGGCGTTAAGACCAACAAACAAGAACTTCCAACTCCAAAAACGACATCCTATTTCACCAACAGGACTCCATTGCTTGCACCACCGTTCAGAAGCGGTTTCTGGTTCGATTCCCCGACGTGAATCAGGAACTGGTCGTGGATTCCACCATGGTGTCAAGTTTCAGGATTTTGTCCATCCACAGTAGGGATCCCGTTCGGGTATTTGAAGGGACACCAACAATTTGACCCCGGCCATGTTGGCTTAGTTTAAGCCAAGAATTGACCAGTTTTCGTACCTCATGCGGATGTCGGCTTTTAGCGCAAGGCCCGAGGATCAACATGCGCCCAGGATGCGCAGGTCTAGCTTCTGAGGGAGTCTAAAAAAATCTACCTAACCTAACCACACGAAGGAACCCGCTAAGCCGTGGCTGCTTGAAAGCCCTCCAGGAAGCAGGCAATCGCTTGGCACCCGTGCATGGCCAGTTCTAGCGGATTGGGCCCGGGGTTTGGAACAGCGATGTTTTCTTTGGCGCATTTTGCCGAGGGATGTTGGGACTTTTAAACTTTTTGCCAGCTCATGGAGGTTTTCCTGAATTAAACCACTAAAAGTTAAAAAGACTTTGGCAGGGGAGCAGAAAGCAACCGAGTTTTAGTGTGGTGACTTTTAGGGGGGGACCTGGTAGGCCTCCTCCCGAAACAAGGCCGAGCCACCTCCAGATTCCATTCCTCTGGTGGGGATGGGCGGGTGTGCCTGGCCCTAACTGGGAGCTTGCCCCCCAACGAACTGTCGCAAGTTGGAGGACCATTTTAGTTGATCCAAGTTTCCATCATCCACTGTTGGGGGCAGGGTCCAACCCCTAACATCAAGAAGTGCAGGCCCAGGCCCACGGCCAGGGCCCATGCCTCGACTTCCTGCGGCCTCTAGGGAAACCAAGCGGGTTGCGGGCATACCCTGTTCGTCTCAGACCAAAACGGGGGAAGACGGCATGAACCCATGGCAAGATCCGAGCTCAAGCGATGTGGTGCCGTTTTTGCCATGTCTTTGAGAATTTGGACGAGCTTGGTGCTGCTTTGGTACCACTGCCAGGCTCAAGCAATCCTTTTGCCTTTTGCACTTGTTTCTTCATCTTCCTGTTTAGCCAGCAAATAGGTAAAGTTGGATGAAAGCACATGGCACATTTGGTTTGGTCAGCCCCTTCTGGTGGAGCTTTTTGCGGCCTGGCGAGGTACAGTCAAGGCCACAAGAGCCAACTCAGACCTGGTGCACTTGATCCACCCGCGCAATGCCTCGGCTGTGATTCAAATGCAATGCTTCAGACAGAGAGATGGCGGCGCGAAGGGAACGACAGAGGAGTTGGATGCTTTTCGAACCCAAGAAAGCCATGTGCCGTGCCGTTCCGGGCTTGGAAGTGCTGGGTGCTTCTTTAGCCCACTGGGAAACTGTTGAGTTTTTAGCCCACGTTTTTTTGTTACTTAACAAAGGAAAAACACATTTTTTGCCCACTGCAGGGGCCTTGCTGGGTTGGAAGTGCTGGGCGATTTTCCACCAGGCAAACCTAACCATTGGGTGAGGCTCAGCCCTTGGCCGCACGCGTTGACAGGAGGCGGCAACGACGAAGCCCGGTGTCTCATCAGCGCAGCTTCGAGACATATGATTCTTCCAAGCTGCACTGGAGACAACATCACGAATTTCCAGTCAAGTGATGGAAACTCCACCGTTATTGGTTGCGTGTGTGCTTGCTTATTACATTTTAGGTTGTTTCCGCTTCTGCTTTTTGTGGCAAGTGCTTGAAGCAAACGACTCTTTTTCCGCTGAGCTGTGCCCCACAGGAAACTGGGCTCTCCTCCTATATTCTTTATATGTCCAGCTTGACCAAAGTAAAATCTGACAATACGATGCGTCAAAATATGGGGACCCCCCAAGTGAGTTTCCCCTTTGGTTCGGCACTAACACCCCAAGGGGCACCGAGCCTCGCTTTACCCCGAACCCAGGATCGGATCTGCGACACTACGCGTATCCAGCCCAGCTGAGACTCTCGGATGTCCTGTGGGTCCATTTGCCTGGATCCATGGATGCATCGCTGGACTCATCGGAGTTGATGGCTTCTCGACTTGGTTTGGTGCTTCCTTTTCTTTCCACGTTTGCTTTTGTATGTTTCTCACTTGTCGTCGTTGTGTTTGTTGTTGTTTGTTTGTTTGTTTGTTTGTTTGTTTGTTTGTTTGTTTGTTTGTTTGTTTGTTTGTTTGTTTGTTTCTTTGTTTGCTTGTTTGTTTGTTTGTTTGTTTGTTTGTTTGTTTGCTTGCCTGTGTCCCTTTCAACCATCAAGTTTGCTCGCTTTGTGCAGGTTCACGGCTTGCCTTTTCAACCTTCGGCCCTCCTTCCAGTTCCCTTTTCCAGGATTTCCTGCCACTTTGTGACCAGGATTTCGTGCCAGCTTGTTTTTTCCGGCGGTTTTCCCTGAGTTTCCTATCGTGGCAGCTGGAAGCACGAGGACATGTGAACTTTTTGGGGCTCTCGCCAGCCCAGGGCTCTCGACCCAAGATCCATCGGATCGTTTTGTCCTATGACAACGTGGTTGCCGTGGAAAGCGAGTACTGCTTGAAGCCGGAGGTCGCCTCCCTGGTGGAGTACATCGAGTCAGATGTCAATGAGACTTTGGCGCATTTTGCTTGGATGTTAGGACTTTCACTTTTTGCCAACGAATGGGTTTTCCATTAAACCACGAAAAGTTAAACTTTTAGCAGGGGGGCAGAAAGCATCCGAGGAAACTAAGAATGAATGCTGGTGGGCTGTGCGCTACCAAATCGTCACCGGCCGGGTCTGGAAGAGTGGCTGGGTGACACAAATCAACCTTACTCTTTGTTCGAGTTGCCTGAAGGCGGATGGACTTGCCTGTTGTGTTTTTCCCCGATCCCCCCCCTCCCCCCCCGCGGGTGGATCCAGTTGCCCTTATAGGCAACCAGGGAAACCCATCCATGGTTAAAAACGCCCTTTGAGATGCCGAGGTGATTTGAATTTGTCTCTCAAGCAGGGGGTCTCTTCCAGAACCATGTTGTATTCTAGACTAACCGCAATATGAAACAGAACCTGAGGATAGTTTTTTCTGTGTCGTCCAGATAGGCAAGTGTTCTTGGGCATCATGTCAAAGAGAATCTGAGGATTTGTTTGTCCAGATACTTGGGCACCCAGGTAGTAATTCCAACGCGACCATTCGAGATGCCATCGACACCATCCGCATCGGTGATGGCTTCCACCTTGGAACCGATGGTATTGAGAATCGGCTTCTGAGGCGCGGGGCATCGGAGGAAAACCTGAGTTTTGCCACCTTTTTGGGTACGTCGGTGAAGGCGTTCCTGTGGTTCCTTAGATTCAACGTGGTTTTTGCCTTTGCCATTGGCTCCCCTGCGCCCAATGTTAAACGAACAAACTTGTCGCGGGCGCCTGCAGGTTGGGATTTTCAAGCAAAAAGGGGCTTACCCAACTCATCAAGGCGGGTTCTCAGAATTGGCCCTTTTCGGTTTTTCCTTTGACAGCCGGCACCGAAACGGGCCCCTGTGAAGAGGGACGAGGGAACAAAGGGCCCCCGGCAATTGTTGTGGCTGACTCTATGCCAAAAGTCCAAGGCGGCTCCTTGGTTTTTCTTTCCCACGCTCACCGGGGCCCAAATTTTAGCGACCTTTGACTTTGGAGCACCCCTGACCGCAACCAAACCCAAAAGTGAAGCTCAGGGGACAGTCGCCAAGTGCAGATCTCCGCGGGATCCTGGGTTTTGGGTCGATTGACCAGCTTCAGATACCACCTTTGGGACACCGGGACAAGCCATGGGAAAACCTGGAACGACCATTCACAACTGCTCGGAGGATTGGGGAAAGGCAAGCCCTGATAGCCTCTCAAGCTAGAGGTTAGACCCCTCTGAGGCTGCTGCGGTACTTGCACTTCCGGAAGCCCCGAGAGTTCTGGGACCGATTTCTGAAGCATGGAGCTGTGGACTGGAGCAGGATCATTTTCTCAGGCGCCCAAAGTTGTGGAAACCATGGGTGGAGGGGAGAGGAAAATGCCCCCACTTGAAAACCTCATTTTGGCGGAGGCATCTTTTCATTTTGGCGAAACCATTGGCGAACACATTTTTGACAACCATGTTTGTATTTTGCTGAAAGACCAAACTGGGATGGATGTGTGTTTTCCCGAAAGCATTGCAATGGGTTTTTCCGCCAAGCATATGGTTTTCTTGCACACAGGGCCTGCATAGAGAACTTGTGCATACAGAAAAGACCTGCGGAGGAACTTGCACAGACAACTTGCACAGAGAACTTGCGCAGAGAAGTTGCGCAGAGATCTTTGGCAGAGAACTTGCACAGAGACTTGGCAGAGAACTTGCGCAGAGAACTTTGCGTCTAAATTAATCCATTTTTGATTGGCGGGGAAGATTTGTTCGTCGTGAGCAACCGTCTGCTGGAGTCGATGTGCAACAAGCGAGGACTTTTTGCCACTTTTCAGCATGGCGCGCGACACCCTTTGCGGGGATCGGCAAGGTCGACGTGCGCGAAGGCCTTTCTTAGCTTTTAACATCCCCGCGCGGCCCTATGCAGCGGCCATGCGCGCCGGACCGGGCGTGAAAGTTTGTCTCGCGGGCGGCGCGGCGGCTCTGGGAATTGACCGGTCCCAGGCTTGAGCCTCTCCGGTGGTTTGCTCCATCGACGGAAGCACAGTACGGAGCGCGCTTCTGCAGAGGCTTGCGCCAAGATGCTGGCGCCCAGCTACCTCGCCCAGAATGGAGAGCGCGCGCAAAATCTTGGAGACAGAACGTGCGCATGAACGAGAATTGCGCAGGGAACCTTCGGCGAGAAGCTTGCACTCAGAGCTTGCGCCCAGAGCTTGTATTGAGAACTTGCGCCGACAAACTTGCATAGAGAAGCTTGCGCAGAGTGCTTGCGCAGAGAAACTTGCATCGAGAACTTGCCCAGACAAATTTGCGCAGAGAAATTTGGAACTTGCAAAGAGAGGTTGCACAGACGCGGGTCCCGCCCGCAATGGAAACTTGCTAACGCATCTGGGAAAACTTGCGCAGAGAACTTGCCCATTGCCCAGGGATAGCTTGCGCAGAGCCTGGCGAGAAGAAACCTTTGTATGGGCAGGGCGGCGTCTGCTATTTAAGCATCCTGCTGGTGACCCAGCAGTCGGCTGTGTGTTTCCATGCCGCAGGAGACCTTTCCCGTGTCTTCCCTTTTCTGGACTTTTGTTGGTTCCAGTTTTGGTTTCTATTGCAGACTTAAACTGGTTGCCTAAGGACAATCAGTGAACCCTGTCTTCCATGTCAGATCTTTTTAAACAGACCTTTTGTCCAAAATTGGGTGGTGGTCGCAAACCCTCAAAATTGTTCTCCTTGGGTTGAGGGATCTTGCGGTATATCCAACCACTGATACTTTCGGGAATCTCCTCTTCTGGGGGGTTAGTCTTTCGCCCCTTTTTGTTGTATCGCAGAAGTGGGTTCCATTTTCAACCACAGCCCTGCTCCCCTTTCAAACCACATCAGGCTAATTCGCCTCAGGTGACCTTTCTTGCACGTCAGGTCACAGCCAGGGAGGCGGTCACGCAGCGATGCTCAGCTTCTTGCATCCGCTGCGCCGCGTGTTTTTCCTCAGCTCTCCTTGCGACGTGTCCTCCTGGACGACTGGACACTTGCCGGTTCCCAGTCATGCCCGAGTTTAGTGGGATTTCTGACCATGGCCCACCAGAAGTTCAATTTTAGCAAGGAACTGATGACATATCTGGCTCAAGTTCAACGTTTATCAAACAGTCAATGACAAATCCCAAGAACTGGCAATGACTTCATTTTTGAGCCAGGGATCAACAACCCACTGAGGAAAGTATTGCGATGGCGCTCAGACTGCCACACCCTGCACAGCCGCTGCGAAGCCTATTGAAGGTTACTACGGCATGGTGCAAGCACATGAGATAGACATTTGCAACTTGGTGTATTCTAAACTTCCCTAGGAGATCATGAATGAATGGGTCATTTGAACGTTTTTGAGATGCATTTGTAACTTGGTGCTAAGCAGCAAACGCACAACCTAGGCAATTTTCCATGTCGTTTCGGGAAGTCATTTAGTCCTTGGCGCAGTCTAAATAGCAACCATTTTCGCAAAAGGAGACCGCAACAGAATGTCCTTTTGTCGATATTTCAAGGCCTGCTTATTTGGCATCCAGAATTTGTGGCAGTAGACTTATCTCACCTTTCAGCCGTTTTGCTCTTTCTGAGCATGCTTTACTTTCCCTGTCAACCAGGAAAGAGTCAAGCCCCTTTCGGCTGGGTAGCTTGGCCATCTCCTCGCTCTCTCTGGATTTTTGGTGCTTCCGCGCCCGCTGCACGCATGTGTGCCTCGCTTGACGCCCTTTGCATTCCTCGCGGCAAATATCCCTTTTTGTCTATATGCCCCCTCCCCCAAATCGAAGATACTTTTATTTGGGGACATGTAAACCGAGTTTGAACTTTTATTTGCTGGTCATTTGAGCAGCTGAGTACTTGCCGTGACGATTCCAAGTAGCAATCCTTGGAGGCTCCCGTTGATGGGTTGCTATTGTCCCTTTCGTTGCGGCGTTAAACAGAATTGCAGAGCACACAGATTCCGGTTCTGCTCCCCGGCTACGTGCTTACTGATCGCCAGCATGTGCCTGCTGCCTTTCAGTTTGCTAGCAATGGTCTAGAGTTGCTTTGCCACCGTTTTTGTGACCCAGTGTCTTCGATTTGGAGTTTTATGCCCTGGCCCCATCCTGTAAACATAATGGCGGACCCCACTTGCTGCATCTACAATTTGAGGCGCTCGGCATTTGACACTTCAGCGGTTTGCCAGTCAGGTGCGTTGGGGCGCTTCTCAATTTTGATCCCTTCCCACGGGGTCCATAGTGCTTGGAGCCCACATCTCCGACGGCCCTTTGGCCCTCTGCTTCTTTAGCAGCTCCGCTGCTTGGGCTCAGCCGTCCCCATTGCCGCTCCGGGTGCCCCTTTTTCGTTGGGCCATTCTCAACTGTGGCACTTGGGTACCGAGCCCCTCATCTGTCTTTCACACGGCTCAGCCGAGCAGCCATGTTGCCGACCCATCTAGATGCGAAGAACAAAGAGCCGACATTGGGCAGAGGGTCAAATCCGTTTGTCAAAGGTATGCTTTAAGCTGAGGGCCAAAAAGAAGCCGGTTTGCCTTTTGGCTGCCCTTCAAACCAACCCCAAAACAGGTAGTCAGAAAACGCCCCCAGGTAACATCACCGTGCCAGAGTATCATTGGCGGAATCTGATGAACACCACCAGCCTTGGCGACGTTAAGACGATGATCCACGATCGCTTGAGAGCTGCAGCCAGCAGCTATCCGCCAAACAAAGTTCACTGCGATGCGTTTGTCGATAGCGTCAACTGCACCAACAGTTCCTTGGTTGCTCTTTGGAAACCTTTGGCCCTTTGACTTTTTGGAACATGACTGGCGCCTGCAAAAAGAGCAGCTTAGGTTCCAGCATTCTTTGCGAGCCAGACATCAAGTACCATCTCTCGACAGCGACCAACGTCTGCGCACCAGCGAATAGCTGTTACCAGCTGGGTCCCTGGCCGTACTTGGCGGGGCGGCCGAGAATCAGCTGGATTGCGAGATGGGCCTTGGCTTCAAGACTCGGCCGATGCAGGCTACAGCGCCCATGAGAAACGACGCTCCATCGACCAGAAGCCTCCATCGATCGGAATCCCTCACCGGTGGGGCTTGGGCGCCTTGGGCTTCTTTTTCCTCCAAGAAGCTTCGCAACGAACACCTGGGCGCGCGAGCGGCACGTCTGTTGCTCGATGGGTTCCGGTTCACGGCCAGGAGGATTGGGAAGTCAAAGGCGGGAACGGCCCGGCGCGCCAGAGCTGCGACGCGCGCCAAGTTGCCCCAATGCCAACGGTGGGTTTTCTGGTTTCCTTCTTGGGGGAGGGGTTTCCCTTTGGCCCGGGGGATGGCTTCCTTTCCTTTTTGGAGGGGGGGGGTTTCCCTTTGGCCCGGGGATGGCTTCCTTTCCTTTTTGGAGGGGGGGGGGTTCCCTTTACGATCAACCGCCAAAGAAAAGAGAGAGCGCCCAGTCTCTTTGTTCCGTGGCCGCAGGTCCGGGGGCTGCTTCCCACAACATGATTGTCCTTTTTCGGGGGTTTGCCCTTTAGCACACATCTCCCTTTTGCAACTTTTTTCAGAAGCGGATCGCCGCATGTTTGCTAGAAGTCTGGGCCACAAACCCCCGTGCTTAGGAACCATCTGAGCCAAGCCAGAATCACCTTGAAATGGGTTCAGGCCAGGCCGAGGCAATCGAGTCATATGACAGGAGATTCGAGTCCCATTGTGTAGGTGATGTTCTGCAGCCGTGTGGATGTTGGGAGAACACCAGAGGGACTGGCTGGCAACATGCCTTTGGATCTTTTGGGCTAGGCGTGCTACAGCCTTGCACGTTGCCGGCTGGATTGTTGTCAGCAGCAAAGAGCCCAGGACAAAGACAGAGTGCAGCGGGACATCAGGACCAGGTGTGAACAAGGGGGTTGCTTCAAGCGCTTCTAACCTTTCATTTGTTATTTTCCACTGTTGGTCATGCATAGAATCTGTCACTGTACATATGTTCTGACTTTTTGTCCAGCGGACTTGAGGAAATGGACGTTGTCATGGTTGTCGTTGGGACACATTTAATACATTTTTGCTTTGCTTATTGTGGTTTAGTGGTGGAAATCCCACCACTTATCTGCTAAAATTTAATTTTTGTTTGCTCCCCAAACCCAACGTCCACCAAGTCTTGGAATCCAAGTGGTTCGCCCAGGCTGGTACTTCGAGGACGGAAGGGGCGGAAGCGGCGGGGTGCAGAGATCTGGGGTCTTGAGGCCTCAAGGCGCGGGGGGGAGATCCAAAGGCTCCAAAACGAACTGAGACGAAACGTGTGTGTGTGTGTGTGTGTGTGTGTGTGTGTTTGTTTGTTTGTTTGTTTGTTTGTTTGTTTGTTTGTTTGTTTGTTTGTTTGTTTGTTTGTTTGTTTGTTTGTTTGTTTGTTTGTGTGTTTGTGTGTGTGTGTGTGTGTTTTTTCTCTTTCTCCAGGAAAACCGCTTTTTTTGTGATTTGAAAGGGAGGGCACCACTAAAATCAACTCAGAGTCAGGCCGAGAGGAGAACGCGACATCCGACTTCAAAGTTTAGACACCTGGGGAAAAGCACTGACAGTTTGAAACTAGTACTTTTGGGACTCTAAACAACTCAAACGTTTTGCCCAGGGAGAGGACAAACAGATGGAGCCTGAGAGTGACATAAGCCATTCGCTCAGTGCCTTTGGCTAGGGTAGTACGGGGTTCAAGCATGTACCCTCTGATAAGAACGGACCTGGTAGCCTACAGCTGGGTGAAAGCAGATGGCACGGTGTAGTCCCCCCTTTACGTGCACACACAAAGAGAATTGTGCCATCAACTTCCACTCCAGTGTTTTGTCTCTCTGGCTTGCCTGAAAGCGCGGACCACCTAATCTGGTCTGGGTCAACTCGTGGTACCTCGCATCTTTGACTAAAGCGATGTTGAGCAAGTCTTTGTGGCCCACTGACACGGAACGAAGCCACTCTGGTGGGTTCCAAAAAAGGGATTTCCTGGGTTCCATAGAAACCTAACCATGAATTCCTCCTTTTTTGTCAATACCAAGCAGTTTGTTTATTGTTTTCGCGTGGTTTGAACATCATGGTTTTCTTAGGTGCAAAATGGATGTCGCAACCATCCGTGGTATGAAGGCTTCTCTGTTTTTTTGGTTTTAGGAGGCTCTCTCGTTGCAAAACCACGTCGCTCGTCGCTTCGGAGGACCTCAGCGGGGGCGAGGAGTGCATCCGCTTCGGGGCGGTGAACGTCTGCCCCCAGTCGAGTCGGGGCTGGTTGGCGTGTCTCTGAGGCTTCCCTTGGTGGGTTTGAAAGAAAGCCAAGAGGAGGACTACCAGTTTTGGGGCTGTTACTCTTTGGTTTGAAAGGAGACCAAGACGACAACCACCATTCTTGGGGGCCCCGAAATTAGAAAGACACAAATCACATCCACTGGGCCTCCCTCAGTTGTTTTTTGTGTCAGGCATGTCAGGGTTGACATGGACTACATGCAAAACGGAGTCAGAAGATACGCGTGTTTGGTTCACCCGAGAGCTGGGCCCCGACAAGCCGTAGGTATTGAGGTCTGCCGGGGATGTTCACGCAAGAAAGATAGGGGGTTTCGGAGTCACAGGCCGATTTTTTTCAACGGGCAAAGGAGGAAGCGACCAGTTGCTTGGGCTTTCAGAGGGAGCGCATGTTTGTTCCTTCTGCCAGCTGGCACTTGGCATGTCGGGATCAACTCAAAGCAGGCCCAAGAAGTTCGAAGAGTTCAGCTTTCTCGGGCGTGAGGAGGCAGGACTCAAGCAAAAAAGATGTCCTTGGCTATAGGCGTCAAAGCTCAGGAATCGGTCCCTCACTTGGTGTGGATTTGTAGCTTGGAGCTTGGAGCCCTGTAAGTTGGAAACCACCCCGGACCTCCAAGCCAAACTCCGAACCGAAGCTGACAAAGGCAGCCGCTTGGCGCGGGACCTGAATTGAAGCTTCGGACCTAAAGGACCTGAGGGAAGAGGTTTGGTGGCGTTTGTTTGGTCTGTTTCTCAGTCAATTTCCTGGAGCTCTTCGGTCCTTTGAACCTTCAGTCTTTGAGTCCTTGAGTCCTTGAGTGCTTGATTTCTTCCTCCCTCCCTCTCCCTCACTCCCTCACTCCCTCCCTCCCTCACTCCCTCCCTCTCTCCTTCCGCCTCCCTCCCTTGGTTCTCAGCAGGGAATCGTTGACAGGAATGACCGCAAACAGAACCAATTCGTGATTGCTTTGAACAAATCCCTTTCCAGCTCATTCCCAAACACTGGACCAGCAAGACAAGCAGAGAGGCAAACCAAGCGGAAGCGTCTTTTCTCGTGCTCTTGTCCATGTTCCGTTTAAGAACCTCACCGAACAAGAAACGATTCTCGGGCCGGAGCGAGCCCGGACAGCCGCGCTTGCCGAGGTGGCGATCGGCAACCCCCTGTCGCTGTCGGCGCCCGGCCCAGGGAGCGGGTACATGAGCTCGCGTTGCCAGCGATGTGAGGCTTGGTACTTTTTGTTGGCGGCTAAAGCTAGGGAGGAAACTTCAACTAGGTCCCTCAGTAGTGCCCTTTTACCCTTTTTTGGGGGAGGGGTCCCTTAATAAAATGGACTACAGAATAAGCTCAGGTGATATCCCCAACAGCATGCGATGCTCTTTTTAGTGCAGAGCCTCGCAGCCCTCGTAACCGTGGTGGAACCCTCGTGGAACCTTACCTCAGGGCCGCCCCCGGACCACCCCGAATGTGTTTCCCTTTAACCCACCACTTAGGGGATGATTTTGATCATGGTAAAATAATGAGGCCGGTAAAATAATAGATGGATCAAAAAAGAACCCCAGTGGAGAATTTTCGTGAACGGATTCCTTAGGTTTTGATTAGGGACCTTCAAAAGGGCTTGTCAAACGTGTGGCGAACCATGAGATTGAAAAATGAGCAGCAGCCACAAAGCAGAGTCCAGTACCTTTTGTTCATAACAAAAAAATCATGGAAGCTGACAGGGGGCCTTTGGACGAGTACTTTCCTTCTTCCGAAGGCCCCATTTTTCGGTTGGGCGTTTTTTTCATGCGAACAGGCCAAATAAATAGAAGGCTGTTTAAACAACCGTGGTTTCAACATGTTGAACTCCCCAAGTTCCTGGACTTGTCTTACTTTCTGGAAGACCATTTTAGTGGCAAACAGAACGAGTTGTGTGTGTGTGTGTGTGTGTGTGTGTGTGTGTTTTTTTGTTTTGTTTGCCAAGAAACATCTCCATCTCAGGTGGGCTGAAAAAAATACCCCGCGCCTTTTCGTTATGTAAGGGGCCGTCCCTTAACTTGTTTCGCAGGCCAAAACCATTGTAAACCGATACAGAGGAAAAAAACCGATACCCCCAGAAGCCATGAAGACACACATCAGGTCCTAGTTGTTGTCGCAAACCAAGATTGCGGAATCATAAATTTGCAGGGCCCAAACCGATACCCAAACCGATACCCAACCGATACCCAACTCATTGGCCGCCATGCCGAATCCAACCAGCTGCCCTGCAGCCTTCTCTGGAGCTGCCAACATGTACTTTGTGTACTACATTTGTACTGAAAAGTTGCGACTGCCGCTGTGGAGCTGCCAAAATGTACTTCGTATACTACACCATACTACACTTGCTTGCACTGAAAAGCTGCGACTTTCGAGCCGGAGCTGCCAAAGTGTCCTGCGCATACTACTGAAAAGTTGCTACTTTCCAGCTGGAGCTGCCAAATGTACTTTGTGTACTACACTTGTACTGAAAGTTGCGATTTCCAGCTGGGGCTGGGAGCTGGCAGAGTGTACTTCGCATACTACACTTGTACGGAAAATTCGCGACTTTCGAGCCAGAGCTGCCAAAACACTGCAAACCGATGCAGAGGAAAAAAACCGATACTGACCGATACTGAGGCATAAGGATACAAGGGTTGTCCACGGGTTTTTTTCAACCCAGGTGAGTCTTTAACGAGGTATCGCACCCTCTCTCTGTCTCGCTCTCTGCCGTAGGTGCTGACAGACTCCAAGATCGGGCCCTTCACGGGAGCGGCGGCGATCATCGGTCAGGGTCTCAAG